GTCTCAGCCTCCCAAAGTGCTGCGATTACAGGCTTGAGCCACCGCGCCTGGCGATCTTTTGGTTTTAAATCACAGAAAACCTAATTCAAACTGGCTTAAAATAAAAAGGGTTTATTGGTTCATGTAACTGGAAAGTCCATAGGTAGTGCTGGCTCCAGGTGAAGCCTGACCCAGTAGCTCAGTATGTCTCTAAATACCGGACTGATTTTTTTTCTCACTGTTGCGTCTTCTGTAGGACCATCTTAAGTCTGGGCCACTTAATGGCTGCTAGCATTCCTAGGATTACACGTTTCCCCATTTATGTCCAATCAGAAAAAGAAGGCATCTTTGTACCAGAAATCTCAGCAAAAGCCCTAACATTCACACTGATTAGGCCTGGGTCACATGTCCACCCCTGACCAATCATTGTGGCCAGGAGGATGGTACATGCTAATTTGCTTATTCTACACCATGGACTACACCTTTGGGGAAAAGGGTGGGGTCAGCCTCCCCAAAATCACATGGATTCCCCAAGTGGAAACTAGGAGCATGCAGTTGCTTGGGTGGCCGCTGACACCAGGCTACTATTATTTTAGCTTGCTAAGTTGAGATCAGCTAGACCTGCTTTTTTTTCTCCTCAGTCTTGCATTTCCCTCAATACAAGCTATAGCCTCTTTCCTCTTGTTTCTAGTCTCAGAATGAAGGAGAGGGAAGCCATTTTCCTGTAGGGACTCTCCAGTCTCATTTAGACAATAGTCCCTTTTTTTCTGCCTCCATCTTAGAGATGGAGCTCCTTTTCCTGTTTCTTAATTTTTTTGTTTTCTCCTCATTCCTGCTTCCCTATCTCTCCCTATTGCCAGTTCCACCAGCTAGCATGAAAGACTTCCTAGCCATTAAATCTATTCTGTAGCCACCAGGTGGCAGCATCTTGTCATACGTGTCAGGACTTAGGACTGAGGGGTTTAGGTTAGATGTCACAGAAAGAGCTAGTTCTGTGGTCAGGCAGCACCAATGAGAACGGAATGCAGACCCTCCAGATGTATCCTTGGGAAAAGCAGTAAACCAACTAATATTTATTGAAGACCTACTTTGTCCTCTACATAGGGTACCTTCTGTCAGGGAATCTTGGTTCTTCCCCAAAAACACTGATTTTCTTTCAGGGAGACTTCATGTGTTCATTTATTTCCACCAGAGCAGATTTAAAGAAATTATAATATGTAATGTTTGGTATCTATAAAGAGTATATCTAATGTGAATAAATTATGAAGCATACTAATGCGTACCTATGACCCACAACACAATTTATACATTAAAACATTTGAAATACCATTGTGTTTGTGTTCCTCCCTAGCCTGTCCCCTGCCTCTTCTTAGCAGTAACCACTGTCCTTAATTTTCATGTCTATTATCTGCTATAGATTTTTTAAACCGTATATGTATATATACAGCCCAAGCTGATGTCTCTGAATTTACAGCTCTTATGCGGTAGAGTATCATGACTTAGTTCTTTTTGTTTTACAATATGTCTTATGTTGTTTTGTCCTTGCTTTGTGAGTTTTGACTTGTGCAGCTAACTCCTACTCACATCTACAGGGAAGTCATCTCTGATTCTTGCCTGACACACATGATCTCTCTCTGGGCTCCCTTAGCACTCTGTGCTCACTACTTATATAACTCACAGTGTGCTGTGATCATTTATTTGTCCGTCTCCCCAGCTAGAATGTTTGAAGTTGGGGTCTGAGTAAACCAGCTTCTAAAAAATGCCTGATACTTAAAAAACAAGAGGGAAAATATCAAAACCACAGGAAAGGACTCCTACTTCTGACAGCATGGATAAGAGAAAGGGCTATCCCATTAAAATACAATTAGATTCTAGATAAATCACAGCAAACATACTTTTTAGCACATTGCTGAGTTCATTAGAAAGATAAATCACTAAAAAAAAAAAGTACAGGCCAGGCACCGTGGCTCACGCCTGTAATCCCAGCACTTTGGGAGGCTGAGGTGGGCAGATCATGAGGTCAGGAGATCGAGACCATCCTGGCTAACACGGTGAAAC